GCTCTAGTGGAAGGTGTCCCTGCCCGTGGCAGGGGGTTGGGACTGGATGAGCTTTAAGGTCCCTTCCAACCCAAACCAGTCTGTGATTCTATGAATGTCTTACACTTATATTCATGAGATGAGCTCGTAATTGTCCAAGGGGTTCTGTACAGCTGTGACTCTTGAGTCCATGCCACTTAATTCATATAAATATTGTTAAAAAGCAGCAGATTTTCATGTTGAAGTCGGTAGCTTTTTTGTTTTGTTTCTGTTTTGGCCGTTTCTGATGTTGTGTAATTTCTCAAAACCATTAATTGAGTGATGAAATCCTGTCAGTGGTGTTGTATACTTAACAACTAAAAGTGTCCTTTCACAGGAAACAAAAATGTTCTTAGAACTCCTTAGAATTCAGGGTTTCTGTTTGAACCCTTCATGCTTTTACTTTAGCAGCATACATTATCAATGTATACAAATAATATGGGTAGGAATAAATGTGAACTGTGTGATGCTTTCCACCTCAGAGTGGCTACTGTTTGATCCAGTTCTTAGTTGAAATGAAGGGATGGCATCTGGAGAAAGTGGAGAGTCCACTCTTTATGTGAGGTTGTGACTTAGTTTCTGATTTATCTGCAGGTGAACGACTTAAAAAGCCAGTTCCTCTTCAAGAGCAGACTGTTAGAGATGCAAAGGGACGATATCAGCGTTTCCATGGAGCATTTACTGGTGGCTTCTCTGCTGGCTACTTTAACACTGTTGGCACAAAGGAAGGTTGGATATTTTTTCTGTCTTCTGGGAAGGGTTAATTTGTTGTCATAATTTGATGCCTTAATTAATTGTCATTAAGGTGGTTTGTGTTGTTTTTTGGGTTTGTTTGTTTGTTTTTTTCTCCCCTGCTATTCATTATACTGTAAATAGTTGAAACAATATTGTTGAACTTAATTCCCCTGAGTTTTTGGACTGCACTTTTACAGATGTTCCCCTGATTTCAACCTTAAGGTGTAAAGTTGAAATATTCAATTGTTTTCAAATATTGCATTGCAGTGTCTTACTTGGATACTTACTCTGTTTACAGGATGGGCTCCCTCGACTTTTGTATCATCACGGCAGAAGAGAGCAGACAGAACTGTTCTTGGACCAGAAGACTTCATGGATGAAGAGGTAAATTTAGAAAGTAATAGAAATCTTTTGGAATTAGTTGCCATGACAGCAGGTTTTTCAGGCGATGAAATCTTTTAAAGAACTTAAATAGCGAAAATAGAAGTGACTTTAAAATTCTTTCTTATATACAGTGTTATACTGCTGGGTCCTATAGGGTGTTTCATAGATCCATGTAGGAAGCTCGTGTAATCTAAACGTTAAAACCCAACCAACCAAAAAATCAAAACCCCCCTAAACCAAACAGATGACCAAAAGCACCCAAAAAACCAAAACCAGAACTCAAGCCTTACACTTTATCAGAAAATACAATTATTTTTGAGGGTGTTTAAAAAATAAGACCATTCAAATTATTGAAAAAGCAACTGTATAAATGGCTTAAAAAAATTAGCTGGTATGAGGGTCATATTCCCTTTTCTTTCCTTTACCATTACAGTGAGTAAGCATTTGAGGGAAACGTAGTTTTAATCTTTTTTCATTTTGTCTATATTTCCCAGGATCTTAGTGAATTTGGGATAGCACCGAAAAGTATTACAACCACAGATGATTTTGCATCCAAAGCGAAAGACAGAATAAAAGAGAAAGCAAGACAGATTGCAGGAGTAGTTGCTGCCATTCCAGGAACCACTGCATTTGATGATTTGATAGGCCCCTCAAAGTAAGTAAATTTATGTGAGAGTTAACCAAATGATTCGTTTCACTTTGAAGTTTTGTATTAGTTAGAAAAGTAATGTTTGATCACAGTAATTCGTGCAAGAGACTGGGAAATCTGCAGTATTGCACTTTCCAAGTGGCCTCAACCTGGATTTTTGCTTTATATGTGCAGACTTGTACCAGGTAAACATTTCTAAACTGGGATGTTGTATAAAAGAAGGTGCTGGTACATTCAGTTTTGATTTTAAAGTGGGGCATATAAATGTAATTTTGAATGGTAGATGTGTATGTTAATAACAAACATTAAAGATGTGGTTTGAGGTAATTAATTTTGTTTTCTTCTTAGAATAACAATTGGGGTTGAACTATTACGAAAAATGGGCTGGAAAGAAGGACAAGGAATTGGACCACGTGTCAAAAGAAAGCCACGCAGGCAGAAACCTGGTAAGTTCAGTGAAGTTCCTGAAATTCATTACTAGAAAGTTAGCATTCACAGACTGGTGAGAAAGTTAATTTTAAAACCCTCTTCTTTTTCGCCTGTTTCTTTAATCACAGAGAAATTTCACAAAGAGTTGTAATTTAACATCATGCTATTATGTCTCTAACAGACCCTGCAGTGAAAATATATGGTTGTGCGTTACCACCTGGACTCTCTGAGGATTCCGAGGTATTGAACAGGCAGAAATTCTTTGTTGACTTAAGTGAGAATGTGTGCTAAGGCGTTTAACCCCCTCTCTGCTTTCATGTCTTTGGTATTTTTAACATGCAGTTCCAAGCTTTTTTTAAAGTATTCATAAACACTTACCCTTACAGTGAAGAAAGGTTTTAATGTAACTACATTTGTTCTTTTTCTTCCTAGGCAGGTGTAGTTCATACATATTTTCGTATGTAATTTAGGAAATGCAAACTCACCTGGTGTCATGTTCACTAGTTGTTGTAAAAACTCAGCATACAAAATCTTGAGTTATATTTGCTGTTAATACTTCTATTTTGTATAAGGATGAAGAGGATGAATACCAGCCAGAGAATGTGACATTTGCACCAAAAGATATAATGCCTGTGGATTTGACTCCAAAAGAGAATATCCATGGACTTGGTTATAAGGGATTGGACCCCTCACAAGCTCTGTTTGGTGCCTCTGGAAGAGAACATCTGAATCTCTTCACAGGTGGTTCTGAAGATACAAGCAATTTAATTGGTGATCTGAGACACAGTAAAGGAAGAAAACTAGGTATTACGGGTCAGGTGAGGACATTTTTTTAATGCATTTATTGTTAGTGTAATGAAGTTAAATAGATTTTGAGTTTTGTTTTTTTGGAAGGCACCTAGTCATTGTACGGTTGTAAGAAATATTAAGTGTGGTTTGAGAACAGGATTTTTTTACTTAATGTGAAGATGTGGGCAAATCCTTAGAACTCTTAAACGCCTCCACTTCCTGATACTGTTAAAAGAACTATGAAATACCTCACTCTGAATAGCTGGGTGGAAAAAATTCTTGTCTGTCTTTGATTAGAGAAAATTAACATTCAGTGCTTCTTTAATTTACATTTTTGTTCAGTTTTACTTCCACTAATGTTGAGTCTGTCAGTGTCCTGGGATCAGCAGTAGCAGTCGTTTTTCTCCCTCTTAGTAGCTGGTGCAGTGCTGTGTTTTCAACTTTAGTCTGGGAACAACGCTGATAACACACTGATGTTTTCAGTTGTTGCTAAGTGATGTTTACTCCAACCAAGGACTTTCTCAGTCTCATGATGTGCCAGTGAGGAGGGGCATGGGAAGCTGGGAGGAAGCAGAGACAGGACACCTGACCCAAACTGGCCAAAGGGGTATTCCATACCACAGCACATCATCCCAGTGTAGAAACTGGGGGTAGTTAACCTGGAAGACCCAGATCGCTGCTTGGGTTGGGCTGGGTATCGGTTGGTGGGTGGTGAGCAATTGTATCCTCTCCCCTTATTTCCCTTATCATTATTATTGTTGGTAGCAGCAGTGGTTTGTATTATACCTTAGTTACTGGACTGTTCTTATCTCAACCCGTGGGAGTTACATTCTGCTGATTCTGCTCCCCATCCCTCTGGGAGCAGGGGGAGGAAGTGGGGGAGTGAGCAAGCGGCTGCGTGGTTCTGAGTTTCCGGCTGGGCTTAAACCACGACAGTCAGCTAGAGAGGTTTTGCTTCTTTCCATGGTATTTGTAGTTCTTAAGTGGAAACATCGTCAGTTTATATTTCTGGGAATTATATTTGTTTAATTTTCATGCCAGCTTAGTTTTTTATCTTTTGAGAACTTAACTTGCTCTTAATGGGACTGCAAATATTACCTAGTGAAATTAGGCTGCTGTCCTCATCCTGTACAGGCTAAGCTCACTGTCCCTCCCTGCTAAGAGAGTGGAATACATTTGCTTTTGTGTTGGTTCTTTATTTCACTAGTTGGTAGCGCTTTTATTTCTTTTTGTGAAGCTGTACATTTTTCCCAGTATATATATGTATACCAGACATCTCGTATAATACAGATGAATAGATATACATGTGGATGTGTTCTGACATGACTTAAAAATATTAATATTACACTTCTGAATTCTCATGTTTATTTAAATATGTATTTTAGGCTTTTGGTGTAGGAGCTTTAGAGGAGGAAGATGATGATATTTATGCAATCGAAACACTATCAAAATATGATACAGTTCTAAAAGATGAGGAACCTGGAGATGGCTTTTATGGCTGGACAGCACCTAAGCAATATAAAGCAAAAAAAAGTAAGAACTGTAGTTCTATCTAAAGAGCTGTATTTTAACTTCTATTGGGGGTGAAGGAGGGAAGAAGACATAAATGTAATCTCTATTTGCCAAGTATTTGAATTTTCAGGGGACTGGTATCTTCTAGCTCTGATTTCTGGAACATCATCTATTCTTCCTTCCTTATTAAAGTGTCCAAATCTGGAAATAATTTCCAAAGTCCTCCACTAATCCCAGTGTAGATTAAACTCCCAAATTCTATTTTTAAAAGGACAATATGCATTTCTTTGTGAGATGCAGCATTGCATTCCACTGAGGGAAACAAATGATTGTGAATTATGGCTACAAAATATCACACCAATATTTGCAAAGAATTTTTTTTTTTTTAGATAGACTTGTGTATTTTCAAATAAATTTGTAAATTTAATCTTTATACCACTTTAGAGCAGTTTCTGAGTGCATGAAATATTGTGGTTAATGTTACTTGTACACCATTAATGGTGCTCATGATCTTGGCTAGGCACAGCAGTGGTACTGTTGCCTCACTATGAACCGTGTTCATCCTACAGCAGTCTCTCTGGTAGTAGCTTTTTTAGCTATGTAGTAGTAATCCAGATTCAGAACCCTTAATTTTAAATGAAAGGCAGTGAAGACAGCTACAGTTACACTCCATAAAATATACTGAAAAATGGAAAATATTCAGAAAAATGCATTTTGCCAAACATGTGTTTTAAATACTGACTGATTCTCTGATCATTTTGTAGGGTCAGAAAGAGAAGTTAAATACATAGGCAGAATCCTAGATGGTTTTTCGTTGGCATCAAAATCATCAACTCCAAGCAAGGTAAGCAGATACTGATACTTAACTACTAAGAATATCATCAGCAAACTGACACGTGAGCTATATGGACTTTAATGTTGCTCAATGGTTTTTATGTTCTTAGAAATAAAAGTTCTGGTCAGCAATAAAGTTTGTGGAAGGAGTAAAATTATAGTGTTGCCAGCTATAATTGAATAATACAAACCTAAAATTTGTCAGACTACTGGGTGAATTTAAACTTTGCCTATATATTGGCTTTGAACAAGTGCCTTTCACACTGCTTGGCATAAAGTTAGAGGAATGGTTTGATTTCACTTTGAAATAAAAAGTAGTACATCTTTTGCTTCTAGATCTTTTAGATGCAACATTCAGTTTTCTGTAGAAATCAGGCCTCATGCTTCATCCGCTTCTGTTTTGGTGACAAGTGAATTTAACTCTGTTCTCAGATTTGCCTCATTTATGCCGCATAAATTTGCATAAATTACAATGACAAACAGAATTGTGTGACGTCCTCTTTCTAATGAAGAAAAAGGAATGATATTGCTTTGTTTGGGAAGCACAGGGATAACAATTAGAGTAACAGCCTGAATGAAGAACGAATGTGGGGGAAAAGGATTTTGAAAGACATTAAAATAAAATAAGCACAGAAGTATTCAATAGTGCAATTAACTGATTAAATCATGACTAATGTTTTGGTTTGGTTTTTTTTTTTAAATAATTATTAAACAGTACCTAGAGCTTTTCTCAAATAAAAGCAATGCATATTAGGACTTATTAATCTTGTTTCACATTTTTCGTATTTTTCATAATACGTATTAACAATGTAGGTTTGTTCCCAAAGTCTGTATTATGATGCCACTTACTGACTGGGTCTGAAAGAATCAGTAGCTTGTTTTACCTGTTTCTACTGCTGAGACGTAAACAGGAATTTTTAGATTGAGGTGGCTTTTCTCTGAAACACGTTTTTAAGTATTAAATACAAAGTTGTATCTCTTTCTTAGTGGATTTTTGTTTTGTCGTCTCCCCGCCAAGATATATCCACCACCTCCCCTGCCACGAAATTACAGACCAGTCCACTACTTTCGACCTGTGGTAGCAGATGGGAATGAAAACTGCCATTTACAGAAGGTATTAGAGGAATCAACTGGAAAACTTGATAGCGATATGAGACAGCAAAGCAGGCATGCTCTGAATGCCTCCCAAAGGCGGGAACAACTAGGAGAGGCTGGTCTTAAAGGTACTGATAATGTGGCAACTTCTTTGTTTGGGTTTCAGGTCCTCTTTTTGTCTATATAACAGTAAAAATTTGGTCTAGGCTGAACACTGTTTTCTAATATAAACATACTAAATCTAATTGGCTTAGTTAGAATACCTCATCGTTCAGTTTCATCTCAACAGCTTGTTGACATATCTGCCTATATTTTTGTTTAATTCAGTCTTTTAAAGAGGAAAAATGTGTGGGATTGTGTTTTGCTGCTGTGATATTTTTATTTTTCTTTTTTTTGTGGCCTTACGGATTCAGAATATAGAAAGCTGTGAGGGTTTTTTTG